TTGGAACTATGACTCTCTAGATGTCAACATCCTGAGTAGCTAGGATTACAGATGTGGGCTAATGATGCCTGGCCATAATATGATGTTTAATGTATACATATATATATGTGTGTATATATGCATATTATGTATGCTTTCATACTTATATGTATGATAACATTCAAGTCAGAGGAATTGTATATCTTTCGCCTTAATATTTTTGGTAGTATTAAGGTTTGAATTCAGATCTTGAACTTGCCAGGCAGTTGATCCACACCTCAATCTATAATTTTTTATCAGTTCTTTATGATGAATACATCAAATTCTGTATTTTGAGATATATAGTGCACTCTTGTTGATTCAATTCTGCTATTCTATTCTATTCTGCTAAACCATAAACACCAGAACGTATTCCTCCTTTCTAAGGTTAAGCACTGTACCTGTTCGCCAGCCTTTCCCCAACTCTCTACCTCCTGCTCTCTCACATCTCTGGTAAATTCTATCCTATGACCACAAACAGCAATGGGTCATAAATCATAACATCTTAAAGACATATCACTTTTGTAGTTAGCTACAATGCAATGGCTTAATGAAAAAAATATGATGTGCAATGAAATGTTTCTTATTAATGGTAGGACATGATGGATGAAAATCTGATTCCCTCCCTGGATAAGTGCAAGCCATCTCTACATAGTAATGGAAAATACTTCCAGATAGAGCAGCAGGAATGAGGGCACTGGGGATGATTTCCAGGCACAGTCTCGCTTTTCGATCTCACATGGTCTATGTTTCAGGACTAGGAGAACCTTCTGTTTCCAGTGATAAGGCATAACTGGGCGAGACGTGGCCTGTGTCATGTTCAACTTGTCTCTGTTTTCTGAAGGGAACTTTGAATTGGGTATCAGCTTCACGCAATACCTAGATAAGTTAGAACTGGCCAGACATAATACCTAGAGAGAGAAAAGCTGTTCATATATTACCCTCCCAACCATGCTACCTCCTCTTGGATGAAAGGAAAGATCCTAAAGAGACTCCAGTAACTGCCTCAATTATGTCTTGTTCATGCACTTCTGCCACGATCCTCAGTTGAGTAATAATTGTGTCACAACCTGCCATGTCCAGGGACAAGGCAGTAAGGGAGATGAGATGGTGGAATTAAGGTTTGGGTACCAGGAAACTTGTAGCCTTCCACCAACTTCAGGTCCCCAAGGTCCATTTTACAAAGTATTTATTGAGTAGGGTTCAGGAGCGTATGTGCACAAAGTGAGGTATCAATATCTGTGAAATCACAAGCATCAATCATGTGATACAATCTTGCTCAAGTCATAAATGACTTCCTTATCTTAGGAAGTAAAGGTAAGCAGTAAATTTTATCTATCCCCAAACTCTCAGAAAGTTTGGGGTTGAATTAACCGACACCCAGGATAGATTCCTATCAAGCCAGAACTGATTGACCTTTTCAGGAAGCTCTCAACATTCTGAGAGTATGTTGTGACATGGTCTTCCAAGCTCCCAATCCTTAAGGGTCCCAAGGCTCAGCTTTTGGGGCTCTCACATAATTGCATAGAAGAAAATACTGCGTGTGATAGCAAGGAGAGAGACAGACAAGGGTGATGCCAGCAAGAAGAGATGTTATTACCCCCTTAAAAATGCTTCAGAAGTGTGTTTTTTCCTGCAAATAAAGTGTCATGTCACAGCTAGTTCTGAGAAAAGGTTCAAGAGCAATTCTATCCCCACCCCACCCCCCACGAAAGAAAGTTGAATTAAAATGAGTCCTCAATGAGTCTATCTGGAGAAAATACATAAGACAACACTGAGAGGACCTGTTTACTCTGTTGTTATTATTTTTCAGCTGAACTGAGAGTGGCAGTTCTGCTTATTGATTTAGGCAGAAGCAACAAAACAATAAAGCATCCATAAGCACACCATGTGATCAGGAGCCAAGATAATTCCCTAAGAATGCTGCTTGCATGTAATTGTTGTATGTATGTTGGATGTAAATGCTGCTTGGGGTAATTGTTGTTGGGAGTCAGGGACAATCAGTCACATAGCAGTTGGCATGATATAGCCACAGGTCACTGATGTGTCTCCTGTGGTCTTTCAGAAGGATGCATGTGGGAGGCTTCACAACATGCCAGACAGAGCAAGGATAAACACAATGTGTGTGCAGTTAGCAATTTGTGGGACATCAAGTCATTTTCTTATTCTCACATGATAGTCCTCACATAAGCAAGAGGACCACCCAAGAAAACAAATTATGACTGTAAAGACCAAGAAGGCCCAAGGTAAACAAGGAGTGTGAGAACAATTCTGCTTCAGTTCAGAACAACAGAGCAAGCATAACCAGGAGACAAGTAATAACACCAATGATAACTCACCTAAGGTGGAATTCAATATGTGCATATTTAAGGTACTATACAACAACTTTCATATTTACTTCAGTGTAAAACTAAGAAATACAATCATTATCACCATTTCCAAGGTAATAAAACCAAGACTCCAAGATGTTAGCCCAAGTTTATAAACTCTGAGTAGACCAAAAAAAAAAAAAACCAAGCTGATTTATCTGAGAATCAAATTCCAATTACATAGACCATCCCAATCCTAGGTTTAATGTGTAAAATTTCATTTAGTACTGGATATAAGACTTCATGTTATGTACTATGAGAACATATAATAGCATAAGACTTGTTTGTTGTTCACAAGCAGTTTTCAAGGAAAGGAAGGAAGAAATGTGGTTAAGAAATGTTCTAGCTCTGCCCCCCCCTTTTTTTCTGTCAGTCATGGGGCTTAAACTCTGGGCCTGGGCACTGTCCTTCAGCTCAAGACAAACATTCTACCACTTAAGCCAGAGTGCCACTTCTGGTTTTCTTGTGGGTTTTTTTTTTTAAAAGAGTCTCACAGACTTTCCTGCCCAGGCTGGCTTTGAACAGTGATCCTCAGATCTCAGCCTCCTGAGTAGCTAGGATTACAGGTGTGAGTCACTGGCACCCAGCTCCCACTTTTATCTTATGTAGAAAATAATCAAGGTAATGCTGCAGAATTTAAAATGAAAAAATACTCTTTCAACCTAAAAGAAGTTTATGATGATGTCAGAAAAAGAAAGCTACTCAAAAGGCAAGCATAATTACAGTTGAAAGCACCAAGGAAGGAAGACATCCTGTGGGAGGTGGTATATGAATTAAACCTAGTATAGGTACCTCAGTCCAAAAAGCAAAACACTATCTCAAAATAAATAAAATAAAAAAGGCTACATGATTAACTTCAGTAGTTGAGTGGCTGCCTAGCAAGTACAAAAGGGAAGGAAGGAAGGAACGAAGGAAGGAATGAAGGAAGGAAGGAAGGTAGGAGGAAGGAAGGAAGGAAGGAAGGTAGGAGGAAGGAAGGAAGGAAAGAAGGAAGGAAGGAAGGAGGAGAGGGAGGGAGGGAAGGAGAAAGGAAGGGAGGAAAAAGAAGGAAAAAAGGAAGGAAGGAAGGAAGGAAGAAGGAGGGGGAGGAGGAGGATGGAAGGAGGAGGAAAGGAAAAGAAAGGAGGGATGGAAGAAGAAAGAAAGAAACTAGGAAGGAAAGGGAGGAAGGGAAGGAGGGAGGGGTGGAGGAGGGTAGGAAGGAAGAAAGACAAGGAAAGAAGGAAGAACAGAAGGGAGGGAAGGAAGGAGGAGAGAGGGAAGAAGGGGAGAGAGAAAGACAAGTAAAGAAGGAAAGAAGAACAGAAGGAAAATGTGAAAATAAAAAGATAAAACAAAGAAATTCCTTATGGTCAAATCACATAGGATAAAGTGAAAATTCTAGAGATGTGAAAATAATGAGTAAAAGAATATACAATTTTCAAATCATAACACTCTTCCCCAACCCTCTCTACAAACTACCATGTTGTCAACTTCCTTTACAGACAACATCTGAAGAGAGAAAATCCCAGCAAAGAGAAATAAAGGACAAGAAATGCTGCACCACAGAGGATGCAGACTGAGCCACTGAACTGGACCCAGGAGGATCTGCACAAGCACTGGATGGAGCATCAGGGAGTGGGATTGTGGGGGCAAGAAATGAGTCAAGGGCATCCAGGACAAGTATTGGACCTCAGGAGCAAAAGTTTTTGAGTCAAGACCTATGCTCAGCCTAGGCTATCTCTTCCAGGCTGAGTCAGACACAGCTATGTGCTTTACAACTCAGAATGCTCAATAGGAAATGGACTCATTACCTTGCTCATGTAACTGTAACCCCTCTGTATAGTATTTTTTAATTAATTAATTAATTAATTATATATATATATAATTTCATAAAAAACTAGCGGGTCTGACAAAGGGTATTTTCTTTCTGAGTCAAATACATCCACTATAACTTTACTAAGTTCAGCTAAGGTTTGGTAAAGAAAATTATCCTTTGAAGCAACAAGGGGAAAAAGTCATGATAAATTACACAGGTCTCTAAACATTTACACAGAGTGAGCCCAAAGGAGGATATTCTTAGGAGAGGATCACAAAGGTGCAATAGCTATGTGCACATGATCATACAAAATAATATTCATCGGAATGAACTCCAGGAAATGGAAACGTGAGTTTGTTTTTCTTTGTTGCTGTTTTTGTTTTCTTTTTATTCTGTCTTGTTTGCTCATTTATCTGTCTTTTGGAGGGTAAGGGGGCAGAGATAAAGGGTGACCAAATGCAGTAGTAATACACACTAGGCACTAAGTTGAAAATGAACTATACAACTTGTGAGTGGGGACAGGAAGGAAAAACTAGGAGAAAGCAAGGGAATGGGTGACATTGTTCAAAAGAAATGTACTCATTACCTGGCTTAGGTAATTGTAACCCCTCTATATATCACCTCTACAATAACAATTTTTTAAAAATTTAAAACAAATTTGTTATTACCTGAGATATCAATAAAAAGCTGAGTCCAAATTCATTCATTTTGAATTCTTTTTTATTTTTTTATTATTTCCAAAGGAATTGTTTATTTCCCTATTCTTTATTAACACCACCAAAGGTGAGGGAGTAGAGAGGGGAGGGCAACAGATCTTACAACCTCCTCATTAAGTTCTGGATTCCCTGCTTGATCTCCTTGGTTCTCACACCATACACCATGGGGTTCAGGGCTGGGGGGGGGTGGGAAAACGGGACCAGGTGGTGCAGGATGTTGAGCAGGATGGTGACATCTGGGGGAATTCTCTCCCTGGACAGGTTAGTGATGACCAGAACCAGCAGCACCGTGCTGAAGAAGAGGATGAGGATAAAGTAGACCCACATGTGCTCAGGGCCTTGGCTACCACCCCCTCAGCCTTGATCCTTAGCACAACTCTCAAGATAAAGGAGTAAGAGATCATAATAAGGATGAAATCAGACCCCAGCAGCGTCCAACCTGCCACAAACTGGTAGAGCCAATTGAAGGTGATGTTGTCGCAAGAGAGTCTGGACACAGACAGGTTGGTGCAGATGCAGTTCTCAATGGTGTTCCCTGCATAGTATCTTAGTCTGGCAGAAAGGATGGGAGATAAATATCGGGCTATCACAAAAGCAGAAGCCCTGGCCACAAATTGATCCGTGATGATGGAAAGGTAGCGAAGAGGGTGGCAGATGGCCACATAGCGGTCACAGGCCATGACCATGAACGTGCAGGATTCCATGGTGAGGAAACTGTTCATGATGAACATCTGCAGAAAGCAAGCAGAGAAGCCAATGGACTTGTTGCCAAACCAGAAGTTGTCTAAAACCTTGGGGATGATGGCGAGGCAGAGCACCATGTCCAGCAGGGAGAGGAGGCTCAGCAGGTAGTACATGGGCTGGTGCAGAGAGTTATCCAGGCAGATGGTGAGGAGGAGGGTGATGTTGGCCCCCATGGCCAGCAGGAAGAGGAGGCTGAAGGGCAAGGACAGCCAGTGCTGCCAACTCTGGTCATTAGGGAAGCAGATGAGTGGAGATGTTGCTGGAATTCATCCAGAAATCTAGAACAAATTATAATGAAAACGGAAGTATATGAGCACCAAACATATGTGATCTACATGTCATAGAACTTAATTTCTTTTGGACCTTGAATCTGTCCCAGTGCAGTTAAAAAAATCATCAACCCTGTTTATGGGCATGTGGTTCTTTGTGCCAGCACTATTCTAAATGCTTCATATTAGTTAGCTCATTTCATCCTTTAAAAAATAACTTTGAAGAGTAATTAGTATTGTTATGTTAACTTTACGACAAAAGGAGAGATCAGGGGAAGCAGAATAGTTTGATTATAGGAAATGGTGAAGCCAGCACTGTGGGCCACAGAGTCTGACATTTCTACTCTCAGCTACTACGTTACCAAACTTTGACAGGCACAGTTACTTACCTAGTCCTTCCCTTCCTCCTTTCTTCCTCCATTTCTCCTTTCTCCCTTCGTACCTCCCTCCCTCCCTTCCTCCTTCCTTTCCTCATTCGCTGTTTTCCCTTCTTTCAGTATTTAGAAGGGATAGCTACATTAAGAGTTCTGTTTAGCTGACTCCATGTAAGCCCAGAAAAAGCCAGTGACCTGTCTTCAGAATTTGTTGTTTTCATTCTTCAAGAAGTGTTGGGTTAATAGTAGTAAACATGTACTTACTACTTTTTGGACAAGGCAATGTGGAACAAACCAAAGAAAGATGAATGAAACAAGGTATGCAATACTAAGAAATTAGAGATGGTGATGAAGAAAAGAAGAAAAAGGCTGGGCATAGTGACTAATGCTTGTAATCCCCACTATTTGGGAGATGGAGATAGGAGGATCATAGTTCAAGGCATCCTGAACAAAGAAAAAACACACTGGCATGGTGGCTCACATTTACAGTCCTGGCTATGCGAGAGCTCATCATATGAGGATTGTGGGCTGAGGCTAGCACCAAACAAAATATGTTAGCTTGTATCTGGAAGAAAAGTAACCAAAAAAGTGGGTAGGGTTTTGAGAAATTGCTCAAGTAGTAGAGTGCTTTCCTAAGAAGCATGAGGAACTGAGTTCAACCCTCAGTTCTGCTAAAAGAAGAAGGCAAGAAGGACAGAAGAGAGAGAGAGAAGGAAGGAGGGAGAGAGGGAGGGAGGGAGGGAGAAAGGGAAGGAAGGAAGGAAAAAGAGGGAGGAAGGAAAAGGAAGGAAGGGAGTCTTTTAAACATTTAGTTTCCTATGTTCTTTGAAAAGAATTCCCGGTAGAGATGAAGAATCTCAAAATTTGCAGAGACCACAATCCTTGCACAAGTTACCTCTAAGAATTTGAACTGGGTAACTTTAAGGAAAGTAATCAGAATAGGTAAGGGTCCCCAAATGTAGACTCAAAGCTGGTTAACTGGTGAGTTTTAGGCAGATATACCTATACAGGAATCCATTAACCTAGGGGTCTTTGTTCGGAAAACCCTTCTGCTGTCAGTAATGTCTGTGTTCTCAAGCATCCACTCCATTAAGGTCCTGGAACAACTATAATTAAAACAGTCCTTGTAATTTTGTGTAGTGACCTATAACAATAGTGGATGCTAAGAAACCTTCACTTGGAAGGTTTTTGGAAACTGGCTGCCATTATGCTCCTCACTATTCAATCTCATCAGTTCAGGTTCACCAATGGAATCTGCAGTGATTCCTGTGTCTGGGCATCAATGTACAGAAAGCATGACCTCTGACAACAGTTCAAAAATACCTGACAAGCAAGGAGAGAATTAAAATGATAGCTGACGATCCCAAAGTCCAAGCCCAGCTTTGATTGACTAGAAACAAGAGCAGTCACCTTGCTTCACGGATGAATTTAGACTCAGGGATAAAAAAGGAAGAATTTTAACCCAGTCAGGAAGAGAGCCTTGTTTTCTTAGCCCCAGGTCTAAAGCCTATGGAAATTTTGGGGACTCGGCCACAGCTCTGAGAGAAATCAGAATCAGATATCAGAATGATGAGATCCTTGTTAGGCTCTGCATCTACTAGGAGTTCTACTTTCTGTCTCTATTCCAGGCTCCTGGACTTCTCAGTGTCTCCTTCCTCATATCTTTCCTGGCTCCATGCTGAGATTCACCACTGCAGAAGGCTAAACTGCTAATGGTCCTAGATGCCTGGATGCATCTAGGGTCAGATGCTCCACGCTGACTCATCCTTCTCTACTGCTCTTCTGAAGCTGGAGCCTGGACCCTGTGGCCCATTTCCCAGGAGCCTCATTCAGTAATGGGAGTAAAATGAAGGGGGAAGGGGCAAAGGCACTGGGGAGTCTCAGTAATGGAAAGGACAATTTGCAAGCTGAAATAAACCAAATATGGGAAGAAAAAGAGTACACAGGCACACTTTATGTGTCTAATATGAATTCATAGAAGCAGAAGGTTACAATAGGGGTTACCATGGGCTGGAGAGTTGGGGGAACCGGCAGATGTTGGCCAAAGAACACAAAGCTTCAGTTACGATGAACAACACAGAGGCATTATTCACAATAGCCAAGTTATGGAAACAGACCAGATGCCCTAAAATAGATGAATGGATCCAAAACATGAGGTACCTGTTCACAATGGAATTTTATACAACCATTAGAATGATATTCTGTCATTTTTCAGGGAAATGGATGGACCCAGAACAAATTGTGTTAAGTGAGGTAAGCCAAGCTCAGAAAGACAAACAGTGCATATTTTATCTCCTATGCCAAAGCTAGATCTAAAATATACCAGGGCATGGTCATTTGTACAGGTCTCTAGGTATTCATACACAGTGAGAAAGGAGGATACTGTTAGGAGAAGAACAGAAAGACACAATGCCTATGTGCATCTGATCATATAAAGTAGTATTTATCGAAATGAACTCCAGGAAATAGAAACAAGAGGGTTTATTTTGTTTGTTCATTGTTGTTTTTTCTCTTCTTTTGGCTCTGTTTGTTCATTTATATGTCTTTGAGAGTGTAAGGGGAGGCACATCAATGGAGGGACAAAGGGTGAGCAAATGCACCAATGCTACTTACTGTATTGAAAATGAACTATGCAACTTGAGGGTGGGGATGGGAGAGGAAAACTGGGAGAAAGCAAGTGAAGGAGCGACATTTTCGAAAGGAAATTTTTTTTTACTTTACTTACGTAACTAAAACCCCTCTGTACTCACTGTTATAATAACAATAAAAAAATTTAAAGAAGAACAAATATAAGAGATCATTATGCAGGCAAGGTATTTGTACAGTTGAAATTTCATAGAACAGTAGATCTTAAATGTTCTTACCACAAAAAAAAAGGTGAAGAAATGGATACATTAAGTTAGCTCAACTGTAGACTTCAGTTGGTTATACATATTGATACTAAAACATTACATTGTACATTTTATATATACATGATATTTGTAGTGCTAGGGATCTAATCAAGAAATCTAATAACAACAGATGCTGGAGGGAATGGGGCCAAAAGGGAACCCTACTGCACTGTTGGTGGGAGTGTAAACTTGTTCAACCACTTTGGAAAGCAGTGTGGAGGTTCCTCAAAAGACTCCACATAGAGTTCCCCTATGACCCAGCAATCCCACTTCTAGGCATTTACCCAAATGATCACAAGCAAGGCCATACTAAAGCTACCAGCACAATTATGTTTATCGCAGCATTGTTCACCATAGCTAAGATATGGAACCAACTCGGATGCCCCTCAGGAGCTAAATGGATCAAGAAAATGTGGGGTGTGTGTGTCTGTGTGTGTGTGAATTCTATGCCTCCATCACAAAGAATGACCCACCCCATTTGTTAGGAAATGGAAAGACTTGGTAAAAATTATATTAAGTGAAGTAACAGACTCAAAGAAACATAGGTCCCATGGTTTCCCTTATTTGCAATAATTAGTATACATCTAGGATAATTCTACAAGACAAGCAGAAAAGGTCAAAAGCTATGTACACATGACTATTTAAGATGATGTTAAGCAAAATGAACCTTAAATATGGACACAAGAGGATGCTGCTGTTGTTTTTAATATACCATGTGATACTTTTGTTTCTTTTGTATGTTCTTCCCCCTATGGTATAACCCCTGTTGTCACTGTATTTGATTCTGGTGCCCTGTATCTTGTATATATGACTTCGGGGGGGACAGAGTTGGGGAAGTGGGGAGGGAAGGGATAATACATGGAAAAAAGGAGGTGTAACAATACTCGATAGGAAACATACTCATTGCCTTACTCATGTAACTGTAACCCCTCTGCACAGTTATCTTTTTTAAATTAATTTTTTATTGTAAAAATGTTGTACAGAGGGGTTACAGTTACATGAGCAGGGTAATGAGTACATTTCACAGCAAGCATTGTTACCTCCTCCTTTATCTTCCCCCTACCATTACTTCCCTCCCCAACTCCCCAACTCCTCCCATCCCCCCACCCTGACACTGTAAAGTTCGTTTTCAAAATAGTGTCCTGTACATCTCATCATCACAATGGGTCAGCCTGCATCCTCATTTAAGTGTTCTGCAATATCCCTTCCCCTCCCCAAATTACAAATA